TTAAGAACAGAGCAACAGTAACAGGGAATATCAGCAAAACCAAGTGTTAAAAAACGTCGCTGAAGAGAGAAGGGTGAAAAAATAAAAACTGAAGAGAGAAGGGTGAAAAAATAAAAACATCGCCGAAGAGAAATACAAAACGAAAATAAAAAAGAACAGTGCTACTCGCTGAAGAGATAAGGATCAGAAAAAAAAAACCGAAGAGAAAGACAAAAGGAAAAGAAAAAAAAAGAAAAGAAGGATAAAAAACATCGCTGAAGAGAAAAAAGGGAAAACAAAATAAAAAAAGAGAAAGGAGAAGAAGAACGCACCTGCTCGCCGTCGCCGCTCGCCGTCGTCGCCCTCGTCGATTGCCGCTCGCCGTCGCGTCGTTGCCGTCGTCGATTGCCGCTCGCCGTCGCCCGTCGCCGCTCACCTTTGTTGTTTTCTGCTGCCGAGTGGAGAAGGCAAGGAGATCCGGAGAAAGAGTCGGAGAAGCAGTAAAGAGCCCTAATATCTCTTATCGGGTTTAAGTGGGAAGCGGGTAATACCCAATAACCCCTTAAATAGTATTGCAATTCTGCCCCTTTTCTTCAGGCGTGCGCATCGTCGAAGGCGGCAGGCGATGCGGGGCGCTCCCCAGGCGCGCGCCCGATGCAAGTGTAGCGCCCCGCACCTACTGCGGGGCGCTATGCCATTGCGCCGAAGCGCCTCGCGCCTGAGGCGCGCGCCTGGATGCGCCTTTAAAATCACTGCTCTCAGCTACAGATGTACCTAGAGATGTTCGCTCATATTCTTTGTAAAGACTTCTCAGTTTCTCTTAGATAGTTAACACATAATCAGAACTAACTCCTAATTTCTCAAAACAAAACTCTACATACTTCACCTTGTATCGGGGGTCCAAAATGACTGCAAATGACAAAATAACACTGTAACATTCCCAATATTTATCAAATTTTATTTTCATATCATTTTCCATGGATGTTATATCTTGATCATCACTTTTCATCTACTCCATTATGCATTTTTGAATCTTAAATACTTCATCAAAATATAAGTTGGCAGTTGGATATTTATTTCCAGTAAAAAGAGTGGACACTTCATAAAAATGTTTTAAAAACTTTGCAAAATTTTCAACCTTTACCCATTCTTCGCTTGATGGCAAAAAGTGAAATTTGGATCAATCAACTCCAAGTGCTTAAATGCTCGACGAAAGTTCAGAACACTCTCCAACATTAGAAACGTAGAATTCCACCTGTTGGACACATCCTGCTGTGAATTTTTTTTTGCTTTACCTGAACAAGTTTGTGCAATGCACTCTGTGAACTTTTTTTTTCTTCCAGGAGGACTCTTCACATACTTGATGCATTCTCTTATCTTAGACAATGACTTATCGATAACCTTTAGCCCATCTTGCGCAACAATATTTAGAATATGAGCACAACACCACACATGCAAAAAATCACCATTACTAACAAAATAATCTTCTAAAACTGGATGGTCTTTTAAAATTCTTATGAAAGCATCATTATATGCTGCATTGTCCAAAGAAACAGTAATTTTTTTTTTCAATACTCCAATCCTTCAGCAAATGAAATAGCTTCTTTACTAGAATTGCTTCACTATATGGGGGTGGAACATTAGATAGAGCTAATATCTTATTCTGCAACATCCAACAGTCATTAACATAATGTGCGGTGAGAGACATATAGTAGTCGGAGGTGGAAGAGGTCCATAAATTCGTGGTTAGACAAATTCTACTAGGAAATAACTTTAAAGCCTGTTTAAGATTTTCTTTTTCTTTCTTGTACAACTTGACCAAATCTGTTTTAGCAGTGTTCCTAGAAATATGCTTGACTTCAGAATTTAAAAAAAATATGCAACTCACGGTTTCCTCGATGTTCGACAAAAAAGAATGGATAACCATGCAATGCAATTACTCTAGCAAGTAGCAAGCATTTCTCTATATTTTTCTTGATTTAGTGGCATATTTTTCCTTGAAGAATCAGCCTCATCTAAGTTTCTTTTCGGGCAAGAATCCATATGTCTCAACATTGTCTTTGTGCTGTGACTACCAACATAAATATGATTACACATATTACATTGAACTTTAGTTTTCTCATCATTATCGTTTGGTAACTTTGTAAAGTGATCCCAAACTTTTGATGTTTGTCTTCTTTTACGTTTAGAAGAACTCTCATCATCACTACCACCATCATGAATGCTAAATTGATCATTTAAAGACATGATAGCTGAAAAAAATAATTTTTTTTCTGCTGTTGAGAGTTATTAGAGGGAGGGAGATATAATAGTAGGCGGTTGTATTTGGAAAACCATTTATTTCATTTTGACATTCTAATCCATTGCTGTTTCCTTGAACGTGCCCATTTCTAGTCGTATGATGGCTGTGATTATCACGGGTGTCAAAACGTTAATCACAATTTATTTGAATTTGTTCTGGTTTTTGTATGGATTAGCAGAATGACCTATATTTCTTATGTTTAGTTCCATCTTGTCTGCTGCTTCTTGAACAACAATGATGCTAGATGGATAAAATAATTTTGAATTATATATAAAAATATTTTCATACATGATTTTGTCCTCATCTAAGAATTAGATAAGATTGAACGTAAACTGTGGATCTGAAACAATTGGATAACTGGTGATCTATTGTATTTAAGATTTTGAATTCATTAAGGTCATGATTTTTACAAAGTTGGTCTAAATGGAGAGAGTTAACAATTTCCTCATGTTTGCGTTTCAAATTCAATTGATACACCTTTAAAATACCTAAATTAGCAGTACTTATAGTGCACTTTTTTAAGTGTTTTTGTTCTTAAAAAATGACCCAAACCATTACTATCTCTTTTAATTGCTTTGTCTCAATCATTGGTCCCTAGGAAGCATTCTGAACTTTCGGGTTTTAATTTTGAATTTTGAGAGACCATCACACCCAAAGATTTTTGAGAGAGAAGAGAAACTCCTTTGTACTCATTTGCAAATTTTTTATTTGCTCGCTCCACTATCTCAATAGATTCTACTCAAAAAACTTCAAAAGAAAATTATATATTATGTTTTTTAGATGTTTAAATACACCAAAAAAGAGGAGTGGTCAAAACACTAAATATGTACTCCCTTTAAAACTTTTAGCTTTTTCAGCCGCAGACATTACTTGATTTGCAATTTACTACAGTTTGGTTGGACAGAACACACTCCCTTTCCTTCCAAGACTACTACAATATGTAGCCTGGAAAAAGATATAATAAACCCCATCCGCTCGCAGCATACATAGTATGTCTGCTCTATTGTGTTTGTTATTTTAGTGCTCTACACCTACACCCTATGTTGCATGAGTAAATATGTCATGAAGCTGGACCCGTATCTGACATGTAAAATACCCATACAGATGATGCTTGACAGTTATCAAATATGCATACATTTATTCTGATGTTTATTCAACTATATAATACATGTTTTAATTTAAAACACTCGCCATGTATTTCTTAGACATATATCTACACTTTGCATCCATTTCTTGAAACTCGATGGATGAAGGTTGGTTCATTTCATCCTATATCCAGTTCGAAACTATGATATAAAAACGGTTTTGGGTATGAAGTTAAAAAATAGCGGTTTTCCAGCTTTTAACTTTCATGATGAAAGAAACATAAAAATGATGCACAAATTTAGTTCTCTTAAAATGTGAATGAAAAAAAATATTGATCTCGTTTAAATAATTAATTTTGTTATATATACATACATATGTTTAACCATGTTCCCTACCCTACCTTTACTAACTTTCCTGTGTACCGCAACCATGTCTGTAGCATAGCCTACATCGAAGTTTTTGCAATTGGTGTGGTACTTGATTTTCACAACAAGAGCCTTTTTTAATCAAAGTAATAATAGTTACTGATCTTTTTTTTATAGTTTTAATATCAGGACTTTCTTGGAAGATTATTCTTATCAAATTACTAATGACATTTTAGATAGATATAATTTATTATTATTGTAGTAGTTGTGGAGAATCTAAGATAACTTATTTTAGTGGAAACTTATTTGTTAGACTAGTACTTATAAGTACTTTCCCATACAAGTTAAAAGAAGAACTAATATACTACTACTATAACAAGTTTCCTTGAATCGAGATTACTAATTTAGAAACTTAGATATTTGTTCAGACAAGTACTTATAAATATTTTCCCTGACAAGTTAAAAGAATAATTAATACACAACTAATTGTAAGAAGTTTCCTTCAACACACTAAATAATTTTTTTTGAGCAAGTACACTATAGTTAGAACACCTTTTAGCCAGGAACTTATTATCTCTTAGAATTTTGGTTTTTGTTCTTTCATGTGCTATTATACATATAATTACTACTGTGGATATACCCTACTAGACCATATTCAGAAGCTTTTGAAATTGGATGTGCCCCAAATTCTAGTAGAGGTAAAAACATATCATCTCTTTAAACAATCACGATTTAGATTAAAGCATCAACCAAATCACTAACTACAATGGATAGGTTATTGGAAATATAGTATCAAGCCTTTCATTTTTTGGCTGAACGGCTGGTACAATCACAGGCATTCCAGTTTGGGCAGTTTTGCTCAGGGTTGCTATAGCTTTGCTCTGAGTTTAGCTTGGGCTCTTGGGTCATGCCTAGTCCAGCCCAATTTTAGATGTGGTCTGACTTCCCTAACCTAATGAGCAGGTGGGTTGTTCATGTTTGGATTGATCTAAATTCAAGTTGCACCTTGATATAATGATGAGGTTAAAATGAGCGTTTGTGAAATCCTTAATTTGAAGTGACTTAGCATATTTCTGGACTTGTTGTCTGCACATTGCTTTTTTTCCTTTTATATCCACTATTTTCTTTCTGAAATTTAGCATCTGTCGTTGAAGGACCATTAAGGATATGCTATTGTATCTGAGTTAATGATTGGCTATCTGTTCATTTATTTGTTTTCTCTATCAAATAGTCTTCAGCTCATATATGTAGTTCATGTATCTATGCAGCAAAGTGCAGCCTTTAAGATCCTCCGAACCCGCTTAAAAACTGTACCCCTAAATAGTTACAGCAGCGAACAACTCAGACGATTGCAGAATCTGCAAATATCTGATAATAGACATCAAGATGCAGAGAATACGATCAACTTTGCACATAGACTGCAACAATTTGGGCACATGCGACGTCAGCATCGCATGTATGCAAAATCTCACCTGCAGTCCCGCAACTCATCTCCCTCCCCGTCATTATCACAGGTTTGAATTACTTACTTAAAAGCCTTTTCAGCTTTGGAGGATTTTTCATCAGCACTTGTTTTGGTCATACGGCTGATGGGACTATTTCATTTCAGGGGGCAATTTATGCTTTTATAACGAACAAAGGATAAAAAGAGAATAACAAATTTCACTACTTATGAAATTTGCGGTTTTCTTTTTGACTTTAAATCATCTGTGAAGTAGAAATGATGAGAATGCTATATATTTCAGGGTTAATTGCGGAATGACCCATGTAGTATTAAGCCCAGTAGCAGATAGATCTCTTGTAGTTTTATTTCTGCAGATAGATCCCCTGAGTGAACTTTTTTTGACTGACTTGAAAATAAAAAAAATGTTCACTAAGGGATTTATCCACACTTGGGCAAATAATACAAGGGGTCTGTCTAGACCAGTAGAACCACATGGGTCTATTTCACAATTAACCCTATATTTAAAGAATTCAGCTAGCATTTCCTTGCTTGCCCAATTCTCATTATTGTCGTTTCACAAGGAGGACGATTTATCTAGTCACCACCGTTGCCGTTTCTAATGTTTGTTACTTGAGAAGTGTGAAAAATCCAGAAGAAATTAGGCCATTTTGGACTATAGGGTTTTACTTTTAACAGTGAAAGTGACTGTTGTTTCTCCTTTTTTTAGTTCCCTTCCTTTTCTTTTTCTTTATTTTCTTCTTTTTCTAAACAAGCAATATGCAAAGAGAAAAATATAAATAATTTCCACTGATAACTCCTGTCGAATGTCTTATGGGTTACAGAGATTGGAAAGTTCTTACAGGCCATCATCAGTTCCAGACATTTACCAACCTTCTACATCCTCAAGATAAACTCCAGGACACTTGCAAGACCAAACCCATTCTGTTCATTCATTATGGCTTTACTTCAAGCCGTTGCGCCCGAGTTTATCATCGTCAACTGTATCAGTATCATCATCCACTGTATCAAGGATCATTCGCCTCTGTGGCAAGAGGTATGGTGGGTGTGTAATTGTACATTCTATTATTTCTATTATTTCTTCCCCTTAAGTGGGCCATATTTTTTGGCGCGGAGAATTAAGGGAATAGGAGCAATACAGATGGTTAATATGTAAGAAGTATTGTTTAGGTGAATTTTCAATCTTGGGCAGGAGGGAAATTCTCATGTGGTTGTAATTTTTTGTGAAAACCATATGAGTTTTAAGATGGTAAGATCCAGCTGATATTTTATCTTCAGCTGGTGTGAAAATCTTTGTAAAAAGGTCACATTATCTTCCATTTTCTATACTTGGATGGCGCAGAACTTTTTTTCCATTGTTGTTACCTAAGCTTGTCTCTATAGCAGTGGTAGAGATTACCTATCCTATCATATCAGAACCGGTTGCATGTGGCGATCGGTTCTAAGCTGCTTGCATGCGGCCATCGGTTCTGAGCCCTTTGATGGGGTTTTGCTAGGGTTGTGCAAACGGTCAGTCGGTTCGGTTTTTATTAAATTTTGAACAACCGACCCGAACCAACCATTATTCAAAACCGAACCGAACTATTGCAAGTCGGTTCGGTGCGGTGCGGTTCGGTTTGTTTGGTTCTAATCAAGATGCATTCTAAATTCATTCTAAATTCAAGAATAGCTTTGTGACAAACATCAAACTTCATCAACATTATTTTATACGTTTATGAATAATAGGCTTTAAATCTTGTTCAATGCTCTCTAGAATACAACTGAAGTTTTAGTCGTAATTTAATGTGCAAAACACAATTGCAGTCACTATTGATAGACTTTATGTAGATCTTTTCCATATCGACATGCTATATTCAGTCAATGCTTGATATAAGATCTTCAGATTTAACCATTTATTATTTACAACATCCAGTCTACCATCTACAATTCGACACTGTTGCTTCACTAAAATATTCGGATCGATTCCTTCGAAGGTCCTGACCATGGCATATCACCTAACATAGATTCAAATTACCCATACTCGATACAAGGAGAAACAAAGAACTGCAGCTGATCATCACAAACACGCCAATTTTATTTTTTGTTTTCCCCTATTAGAGGACTTTGCTGTCTGTGATTAGCATCACTTGCAAGGAAACAACCTTGAACATTTTTACTTAAAGGGAAATTCATGGCCACGGACTTCACAGACTGATATTGTAGCAGAAATTTATCAGTAATCAAATTTCAAACACAAACAGCTTAACATAACTCTCCTCCCAATCCCATGACATGAAACTCTCAATCAAACAATTTAGGTTGCATTTTATACCCTTTGAAGTAAACTTCCAACTTTAAGATTTTGCACTCTAATATCTTGATCCCTTTTGGAACACCCAAAAGCATCAAATACAATGTTAAATGACAAAGGAAGGAAACAATTTAGAATGCAATAAACAGTAAATACTCATTTGTGACAAAACGTTGACAACATAGAAATTTACTTGGAAACATCATCGCCACAATTTAGAGTGCGGACTGCGAAGTGCCTACTGCCCTGCGCTTGCGTTGTGGCCATGCGCCGGTGTGGGTGCGCTACGGAGTGGAGAGAGAGAGAGAGAGAGAGAGAGAGAGAGAGAGAGAGAGAGAGAGAGAGAGAGAGAGGAGAGAGAGAGAGAGAGAGAGAGAGAGAGAGAGAGAGAGAGAGAGAGAGAGAGAGTGGTGATGACTGCTGAGTGCGGAACTGTGGATTTGAGGAAGTGCGCCTCGGCGGAACTGCAGATTTGAGGAATTGCAGCTGGCGACTGCGGGCTTGGAGACTTGGAGTTAGGGTTTAAGTATTTCAATTTGAGAGATTTTAGTGAACGGGTTTGGTATGGGTACGAGTTAAAAATTATAATGTTAAGTAATGCGGTTGGTTCAGGCGGTTCAGGTTAAAAAGTTTTCAACCCAATCCGAACCGACCTACAAACAAAACCGACCCGAATTGCTAATTTTCGGTCGGTTTTTTCAGATTGGACTGAACCATGGTTAGAATTTTGGTTAGAGAAATTTGATAAGATTTTATAGTAATTTATAGTGATTTATGGAAGATGAATAGTTGCAACGTTTTTCATTATTAGTGTGTAATGTCAAGACTTAGTGGGGGAATGTTATAATAGTAATTTATAGTGATTTATGGAATGTAATGTCAAGACTTAGTGGGGGAATGTTATAATAGTAATTTATAGTGATTTATGGAAGATGAATAGTTCTAATGTTTTTCATTATTAGTGTGTAATGTCAAGACTTAGTGGGGGAATGTTATTAGTGGGTGGTTAAATGAAAATTTGATGCTAATAAACAGGGAGGTTATGAAAAATTAAGTATGTATATATCTTAATGTATGCATGTGCTGGAGATATATGCATGTATGTGTTTCAGAGGATATTTTTAGAAGAAATGTTTTAACCAAGACAATGGAATAATGAAAAGTTGATGACTTTTCATATTACTGTAATGTTATGTTATATATTTATTTATTTGAATTGGTAAAAAATAACTTTTTACTAATATTATATTTGATAATTGCACATATTTAATAATTCATATAAATATTATATATTAATGTGATATCAATATATATTATAATTATCATACATTAACTATTATACTCAAATAGTAGATTAATAGTCAGAAAATTCATAATACTCTTAAAATTGTAGTAGTAATCCATTCTATAAGCATCCTCAGGACCAACTAACTATATCATTTTATAAATTGATCTTCCTGCACTTTCTATTTGTCCTTTATAACCCAATAATATCAATGTATTACCTTAGTGACCATAGAACGAAAATTAACCCTTTACACATATAGAGTGAAAGCAATTACACTTATAATGCATTGTCATTGACAAAGCTTTTTTTATCCCGAGAATAAGCATAATGCATTAAGAGATTCAACCAAACTATACAAATAATTTAGCATATTTAAAAACATGCCTAGGAGTTGGAAACCAATTAATATGCTAAGGCAAAAACATATACGAAGATGGAAGGGGGGAAACCAATTAGTTTATGACCGAAATAGCTACAGATTTTGATAAAATACAGGACCGCCTTCTTTGTCACCTTCACCGGTTTTTTCTCTGCTCTCTAAATTGTTACACCGATGCTTCCATTACCATCTCCTTATTCAATTCGATTGTACTCCACGAGTGATGTTACCATTGACACACTCACACTTCTTGCGGTTTGTAAGTGCTGTAGTCGTGTCTCCTTACCAATATGAATAAATTTTTATTAAAAGTTAGAATTTTAGTTAGAGAAATTTGATAAGGTCGTATAGTAATTTATAGTGATTTATGGAAGATGAATAGTTGTAACGTTTTTCATTATTAGTGTGTAATGTCAAGACTTAGTGGGGGAATGTTATTAGTGAGTGGTTAAATAAAAATTTGATGCTAATAAATAGGGAGGCTATGAAAAATTAAGTATGTATATATCTTAATGTATGCATGTATAGATGTGCTAGAGATGTATGCATGTATGTGTTTCGGAGGGTATTTTTAGAATAAATGTTTTAACATGACAACACTTTTATAATAGTATTAGATATTAGATTAGACCGTGTTCCAACCAAGCATTGAATTTGCGTTGGATATACAATTCTAAATTAAAATGTACATATCCAGATTATCAGAATTTTTTAATCAAACGAAAGAACGCCTGAACCGTTTCACAAATACCATATAGACCCTAGAGCCTGGTAATCTAACGACATTAATGCGACACAGCCCAAAAGATCAAGCCCATCAAAGGCGGCGTTAGAATCGCGTTAAAGCCCATATAGTACCCAAGGTTCAAATCGAGCCCGTCGACAAGCTGCAAAATTCCAAACCGCTTCCACGCTCTGCACGCGGTTTCTCGGATTCCTTCTCGGAGCATATCCTCCCCCCCCCGCGTCCCTTTACTCGTACGCGCCCGCCCCCTCACCGCCCCCCTACGTATTCGTATTCTTCCCGAACACTACACGCGTCTCAAAAAAGCAAAACATTTAAGCCCTCTATAAATTAAACCTCACCCTCCCCTTTTCCCCAACCCAACCGATGCTGATCAACCAATGGAAAACTCAACCTTTCATCCTCTCCAGCAGCATCGCGGAGAATTGGGCAGCCGGCGAGCGCCGACAAGGTCTCACCGCTTCGACGCAGAACGGCGACGCAAGATCTCCCCCTCCGAGCCCTGTCAAGCCTCGTCCGCGCATCGACACCACCGTCACCGACGCCGAGGTCGGCGTCATGATCGAGGAGATGGACGCCGACCACGACGGGTTCGTGGACAAGAAGGAGTTCAAGGATTTCCAGAGGTCCGGCGACGACGTCGAGTCGGAGCTGAAGGACGCGTTCGACGCGTACGACCTGGACCGGAACGGGCTGATCTCGGCCAAGGAGCTGCAGATGGCGCTGAGGAAGCTTGGGGATAGGTGCGGGGTTGAGGATTGCGAGAGGATGATCAGGTCGGTGGACGGGGATAAGGATGGGTGTGTCGATTTTGGGGAGTTTAAGAGGATGATGATGAGCGGTAAAAGAACTTAATCGGGGCGAATGAAAAGCCTAATGAAATCACGTAAGATTATGATATGGTGATCCTATCGAAAAATAATAAGAAATAAAAGGTGGGGGGGCGTCTCTGAACGATCTCCGGTATCGTGTTTTCAACGGTTGGTGTTTGTACCGATGTATTCAGCCCGTTGTTACCGTGTGTGTTTTTCTAGCTTAATTTTCTGGGAAGTATTAATTCAAGTTCTCCGTCTATTTCTGTGTGCTCAGCCCCTCTTCCTTCTTTCTTTCTTTAATTTGAATCCTCCTCCACCTCGCCCTAATCTCTCCTTCCTCTCTTAATCGTACTTCCTTAGCTTCCCGATCCATTTCTACGGCGCCGAATCACGAAAGAGGGCGAGTTCAGATTTCAGCCCCTAAGAAGCCCGAGTCCGTTCTCCGCCGCCTTCTCTCGATCCCGACGTACGGCTACTCCGTCCTCTTCCTCCAGGGTGGGGCCAGCATCCGGTTCATGAATCGCTGTCCCACTCAACCTTCGTGGGACCCACTGGCGGTAGAGAATAGAGAACGGTGAAGGACGGGTGGCTTTGGAGAAGTTCGGGTTGTGAGGGCTTCCTTCTATCCGATGTTAGCGATTCTTGCAATTCCCCAATTTACTTTTGTTATCTGTTTTAAGAATAGGGGTATTTTTCTATTTTTTGTGGCTTATATATTGAGGAAAAAAAACAAGGAAAAATGTGTTCAGCCCCCAAAAGCAGAAACTTCATATGACCAACCCCCTTGTATTTTCCTCCATGTGGATAAGCCCCAAAAAGTAATGTTAAATGTGTCAAGGCCCCAACACGTTAGCAGTATACAAAACCCATGTGGATAAGCCCCAAAAAGTAATGTTAAATGTGTCAAGGCCCCAACACGTTAGCAGTATACAAAATAGAGATTGTATTTAAAAAAAAAACCCAAATTGCCCTTCTCCTTCTTCCCGAGACATAGCCCAAAAGCATAGAAAGTCACGTCATCATTCTCTCTCTCTCCCTCTTTCTCTCCTCTCTCTCCCTCTCTCTAAAATAAAAGGGGCCCTCGCCCTCCTCGCCGTCATCACCTTTGCCCAGGCCCCCGGCGCCGCCCCCCAAGTCCCTCCGGGCTCACGACTGATAAAATGTTAGCTCTGGTATGTGGTGAAAACAAAACCAGAAAAAGACAACAACGGATGTGCTGGAGGTAGAGCTAATGCCGGAGCTCCGCTAGCCTCTTCTCTTCGTTCTTTCCTACTCTGCCGCCGTCGAAACCCTTCCCCTGTCTCCGCTTGTCCTCTTCCACGACGATTTTCGCTAAGAAACGTAAGGATGCTGGCGTCAGTAGATTGGAGCTTGATATCTACGATTTCATGGAGAAATCTGAGAACCCGAGTGCGTTTTTGACGAGGGAGGAGCTGATTTCAGGCGGGAGGCTGGGTTTGGCCGAGGAGATTCTGAAAGAAGGGGACTAGCTCTCGTACGGATGGACGAAACCATGAGAAGAGAAGGAAGCCGTCGAGATCTCTGAGCAGTGGTCGAATGATGGTTTCTTGGAGGAGGATTCTTCGTCTTCCTCTTCTGGTGATCTGATATGAGTGAGTTCTTGAAAATTTTGTGTTTTTGAGATTTCTGGTTTTCTTGTTTCTTGAGCTCTTCTTTTGGTTGTTATTGTAAAGTGGGGAACGTGAGGTTGAAGTACAAGGTGAAGGACGTGGAGGGTATGATTGGGGAGTTGTTTGGACGAAGTGGAAGAAGATGAGGGAGAGGTGATCCATTTTGTTCTATGTTATTAGCCATTGTATTTACTAGTGTTTAGGGATTGAACCCCTTCAAGAAGCTGTATAATGCTTGGTTAATTGCACATAAACCTCATGTGTTATAGGGGGCCTTGTCATTTGTTGTCCCTGAGCCATGCATTTCCTAAAGAACAAGCTGTTTGAACTAGTTCATGTTAGTTCTAAATCAATTCTTACGTATTTTGTATTTTGTATAAGATTACTTCTCCACAAAATATAATGAAAGTGACTGTTGTGTTCTTACGTGGCATAAGCTGGTCCGCCATAATAAAGATACCTACTAAATGCTTGTTTTAAATTCTTTACATGACCAGCTTTTAGTCATAGAGATGGTATAAAATAGAACTAACTTAGTATAAAATAGAACTAACGTGGTGTAATTTAGAACTAACGTGATATAAAATAGAACTAACGTGGTATAAATTAGAACTAATATGGTTAAAATTAGAACTAACTTGATATAAAATAGAACTAACGTGGTATAAAATAGAACTAACGTGGTATAAATTAGAACTAACGTGGTTAAAATTGTTAGACCCTAGAGGGGGGTGATTAGGGTCTTATGCTAATCTAATCCGATTAAATACCAATTAAAATTAATTAACAAATTATTCTTGCAAGAGAGATATTTAATATGTTACAAGTAAGAATAAGCAATATGAACAAAGGTAACTATCCTAGAAAAGAGATATACTATGAGATATATGCAAGGATATATAAACAACACAAGGGTAAACAAAATGAACTAGATAGTTGATCATATAAATAATGAGCTATGGACAATGGCGATATAAGATATGAACATAAATATAAATGAACGCCAAAGCACACTCAAACACACGATATGATCACGAAGTTCGGACCTTCCGTCCTACGTCTCCGCTCCCCACTCCCGGGGAGAAATCCACTATCACAACCGGATTTTCTACGCTCACCCGAATAACGTTTACACCTCACAGTATCGATTTTCAACGCTCACCGATCAACGTCACTCCTCACAATCGGTTTTCTAGTTCACCGAAAACTTCACAACACACTCTCGGTTTTCTAGCCCACCGAAAACCTTACAACACTCACAATGTAACAAATATAAATTTGTTCTCTACAATAGATGAGAACTCAATTAAGCACAACTCAATGTTATAATCTCTCACAACCCTACTATACTATGTATGTAAATACAATAAGCTCAAAGTGGGTGTGTGTAACAATGAGTGAAATCAAAATCAAACTAAACTCAAATATAAAATCTAGCTTAAGAACAATGATAATCAAACAAGTATGTAAATGTAAAGCTAGAGTTGAGTTTAGGAAAACTTCTCTAGATCAAGATGGAGAGATGGAGATATGAGCCCAAAACAAGAAGATAATCTCCTCCACTTGTGAAAACCAAAACAGCTTAAACCAAACCCTTAAACAAGCTTAAAACAAGCTTAAACCCTTTTTCAAACCCTTGTTTAAAAACTTCTTTGCTTAGTTGAAAGATAACAGCAATAGGGTATTTATGCCCACTCAAAATCTCAGCCAAAACCTTCAAGCAAAAGTCCAAAAAGCCCAGAAAAAAATCAGCTCAGAAAATAACCGTTGGAAAAGCAACGGTCACATTGGCAGAGCGACGATCGACCGGAAATTCTCGCGGTCGACCGCGATCCAGGTTCCAAACGGAGAAAACGAACAGAGAGTTCTTCGGTCGACCGGGAGAATTTCCGGTCGACCGCCGGTACTGTAGCAGGTATATCCAGTTATATAAAATCAGTTAAAAATAGTAAAACAGTTCAAAAAATTATGAAATTTTGAGGGAAGGTTCTAGACATGTATAAGAACATGTTAGAGAAAGAATTTCTGAAAAACCATTTCCCAGTTGAGAGAAATAAATATTTGAACACAGATTTACAGTTTCTGAAAAACTGCAGACATACACGATTTTGTAAAATCAATTTGGCACAGTAAATCAACTCCAAAAATAGTAAAATTTTGAGGAAAGTTTATAAACATGTAGATAAACATTTCAAAGAAAGAATTTCTTGAATATCACTTTCCATTTATGAAAACTCATCTGTTTTGTAAAACATGCACGAACATGCACGAATGAAAAACATGATTTTGTAAATTCCATTAAACATAACAAACCAATTCCAAACTTGATGAAACTTTGCAAAATGTTTATAAACATGAAAACAAACATGTTACAAAAATAAATTTTCAATTTTCATTTCTCAAATTTGAAAACTCATTATTTTGTAAAAACATGCATGAATATGAATTTGTTAAGAATATGTTTTTGACAAAAAGAGTTTAAACGCATATTGAAACTTTATGAAATGTCTCCATAAACATTATAACACATGAATATAAAGTAAACATGGTCAATAAAACAATATCACAAAGTTTTCTCAAAATAGCTCATTTTGTGAGAAAATCCAATATTGTGTGTGTATATGATATTGAGCTTAGAGTATTAAACACACATAATATAAACCTATACTAAATTACTCAAGCTTGATCTTGATCTTCATTGTAGCTCAACTTGGTATACATGCGGATGAAGCTTGAACTTGATCTTTAACTTTGAATTGCAAGGCTTCACTCCACTATTCCGCCAACCTCCATTGGATATGATCGTTGAAGCTCTATTCCATCCATCCTCCAACTCGTTGTTTGAGAACTAACACTGTGCAGAATAGAACTAACACTCTACAGATTAGAACTAACACTTTACAGAACAGAAATAACTTGGTATAAATTAGAACTAACTTGGTATAAATTAGAACTAACGTGTTATAAAATAGAATTAACGTGGTATAAATTAGAATTAACGTGGTATAAATTAGAACTAACGTGGTTAAAATTAGAGCTAACTTGGTATAAAATAGAACTAACTTGGTATAAATTAGAACAAACTTGGTTAAAATTTTAGAACTAACTTGTTATAAAATAGAACTAACTTGATATAAATTAGAACTAACTTGGTATAAATTAGAACTAACTTGGTATAAATTAGAACTAATGTGGTATAAATTAGAACTAACGTGGTTAAAATTAGAGCTAACTTGGTATAAAATAGAACTAACTTGGTATAAATTAGAACAAACTTGGTTAAAATTTTAGAACTAACTTGTTATAAAATAGAACTAACTTGGTATAAATGAGATATAACATGGTATAAATTAGGTTTATAACGTGGTTTAAATTAGAACTAACATAAATTAGATATAACGTGGTATAAATTAGATATAACGTGTAATAAAATAGAACTAACAAGCCATCACACGCTACAGAATAGAACTAACACTGTGCAGATTAGAAATAACACGCTACAGAATAGAACTAACACTGTGCAGATTAGAACTAACACGCTACAGAATAGAACTAACACTGTGCAGATTAGAACTAACAATCTACAGAATAGAACTAATACTGTGCAGATTAAAACTAACACTCTACAGAATAGAACTAA